CCAAGTCACCCTTATTTGAGAATCCTGCCAGGATAACACCATCACACTCTCCTGAGACAAACCCTCGAAAAATTCCACATCGAAGAGGACCATACTTCAGTTTCCTCATACTATATGTATCACGAATTAATTAATTTATTTGCTCATTTGATTTTTGAAGTAATCAACTTTCCTAACCATTCGAATCTTCACTCTATTATTTTCATTAGACCTGAAGTTAAACTGCTCCAGTTTATCGACAAAAGTAGTAAAATCACGCTGACGCTTTTCAAAAGAAGAAAACAGCCAGTAAATGTCATATAATGACGTGAAAAACATTCACAATGGTGCATAAGATACCCAGAAGTGACGAATGTAAATACGAATAAAGAGGCTGGTACATGTAAAATGCTTTTATTAACTCTTTCACATAGTTAGAAACTGAAGCCATCAGAAATGTTCCTGTTAATCATTGAACAATACCTTACTCACAAAGGAAGGCATGATAATTAGCAGTATTAGGGTTAATTTGCCAAATGAGAAGTCCTCAAATAGTGTAATTTAGAGTAGATAAAATTAGATGACTCACCTGAAGAACTTTCAAGGTTACGGCCAGTCTCAATTCCGGTAAAGCAAGACGGTTGGAAACAATTTTCTAAAAAACACAAACCGGAATGAATAAATTTAACCATTAAAAACTCTGTTATCCTGATTGAAAAAAAATTATGACACTTCTTGCTAAAAGCCGATGCTCTTCGGAAGTCACGAGGCTGATGTAATTTCCTACTGCCAGAGCAAGGAATTTTATAGGAAGATGGAAAGTCCGGAGAGTATATGAAACCGTGGAGGCCAATAAAATAGCTGAGAAATTGAGGAGACAAAAGTTGGTGGTGCTCTCTGTAAAATTCATCGGACAACTGCCTGATAGCAAAGGCTAGATACAGAAGAGATGCTACCGTACTCCTGTCACGAAGAGGAAAATGCTCTGTACACTCAGGGAGTTACTCTGATGCTGTCCAAACTAGACACGTAATGCACTTATAGAATGGAAATCTCACGGATCCAGGACATTAAACTATACTTCAGAGAAAAGAAGAAGGGAATCACAATGTGTGTCGTCTAATGTTGTGCACCCATCAATGATAGCAATGACAACGATAAAGATCAGTATTTCGATAGGTTGCAATCGATCATGGCGAAGTACTCAGGAACGGTCATGATAATTCTGACGGTAGATCTAAGTGCCAAAGTCGGAAAGGAATGCAACGGTTATGAAGATATCATGGATGGCATGGACTGGGAGAAAATAATCGAAATGGCAAAATATTTGCAAACCAATGCGCATTTTACAAATTGGTTATAGGTGTCACAATATTCCAACATAAACACATACACAAACTACATGCATCTCACCAGACCACACCACGAAGAACTAGGTAGATCACATTGGTATCAATTAAAAATTCAGAAGAACAATGAGAGACGTGAGAACCAGGAGGAGAGCTGGCATAGCATTTGGTCGGCACCGATCGGTGATTACCAAGATGAAACTAAAGCTAAAGATACGCCGGGCAACTGGGGGAACAGCATTACAATGGTTCAATACAGCCTTCCTTCGAGATACGAACAAACTCAAAGAATTCAAGATAGCTCACAACAACAGATCCCAAGCCTTACAGGATCTACTGAAAGAAGAAGAAGCTGCCATGGAGGACAAGTGGAAGGGTATCAATAAGCATTAACTTTAACGTGTCAGGTGGTTCTGGGCCGCAAGAAGTATCATCATAAGGAATGGATCTCTGTGAAAACTTTGAACAAGATTCAAAAGAGAAAGAACAAGAAGACAGCAATTAGGAATAGCCGAACAAGGGCAGAGAAAGTCAAGGCACAAAGGTGAACACACAGATGCAAACAAGGGAGTGAAGTAGGGCATTAGAGCCAAGAGGTAGAAATAGTTTGAAGAGCTAGTAACGGCTTAAGAAAAAGCTTTGCATTATCTGCTCAATAAAGAATCTACTATGGACTTAGCAACAACAGCAGAAAAATCTGAAAGAAAAGGAAATATGAGGAAATGTGAGAGCTATAGAGGCATCACACCATTACTGGTGCCAGGAAAAGTTTTCGGCAGCGCGCTGCTGAAATGCATGGGAAGCATCGTCGGCAGACAATGAGGATTTTATACAGATGTGAAAGCAAGGATTGGTCAAGAATTGGAGCATTATAATAACTGAGGGACATATGTTACTCAAGACAACTCCCAACTAACATTAAAGCCAGAATCGTCAATACGAACTTCAAGACAGTCCTACTGTATAGAGCTGAAACTGGGAAAACTACTACAACCATCATCAAAAAGTAGAAGCATTTGCAAACGATTACCTAAGCAAGATATTCAGTGTCCGTTGGCCAGATACCATCAGCAACAGCCTACTAAAAGAGGACAAACGAACTTTCAGCTGAACAAGCTATTGAAAAGAGGCGATGGAGATGGATAGTCCATAAATTGCAGAAAACACTAAACTGTGTCACGAGGCGATTCCCAAATTGGGATCCTGAAGGGAGACAGAAAAGAGAAAGAACAAAGAACACACTGTGCCGGGAGTCGAAATCAGGCATAGTGAAGATGAATAGGAACTGGAAACAACCCGAAAGGATTTCCCATAACAGAGTTCGATGAAGAGTGCTGTTGAGTGACCTATGCTACTATAAGAGAGGTAACAGACGTGAGTAAACAAGTAAGTAAAAGTAGATGGGCACAAATGAACACACTATACTCGGAATTCGTATTCAGCGCTTTGCCAAGTACAACCGAATCATCAGTTGGTACATTACCACAATCACCGCAGCTTAAGAGGAGATCAAAATTAATATAATCCTTCGTTCTTCTTCTGCTTAGGTTTATCTCGTGTCTATGAGACCGCATATTTGATATAGTCCTTGTAATGTCTGTAATGTACTCATTTGTAATGGAATTAACAATGGAAATTGGAACGACCTCACCTTGGCTGTTGGACCGGCTTGCAGACTTTTCGTAGTATGTAAGGATGTTCTTGTTAAAAGAATTTCACCATTATTTTTTGCATACGGTCTGGTGATTCTGCACTGAAAAGTTTTATCTCCTCTCCTCTTTGTATCTTCAAATTTTACGGCAGTAATATAATTGACATTTGTTTTCAAAGTCTTGATAGACCATTCAAAATCAGTGATGAGGAGCTTGAGGATTTATAGCCTCTAATCAGTAAATTAGAACACAAAAGAATAGGAAGCTTATGACTAGTAATACTAGACATAGAAACTTTAATAAGTTTATTTATAGAATCGAAATTTAATGACTCCAACTTTTCAAATGAAATGATGGATATTATACTACCAATGTCAACAACGATATAGTGAAAAGCACTACCGAACAGATATAATTATTTCTGAATATGTAGTTTACTACTCGAAGTTGTTATTTAAGATAGTATATGTGGTTAGCCGGCTTTCGGAGAACTTCAACGGAGCCTTTAGAGGCCCAAAAGGAGCGGAAGAGTCTTAGCCAATCAGAGCACGATGGAGCATTCTAGAATTCCAACGTGGCGTGCTACTATTGGTCAGTAGCATAATACGTCGTTAACGGATTGGCTGAAATATGATGCTGATTTAACAAACGCTGACATCTATAAATACCCATGTTTTTCTGTAGAAAAAACGAACCTTGCTGTAAAGTATTTCTCTCATACTTTGCGTCTACTCTCTGGTGTTCAGGTTGCTGTGTAGTTTTAGCTTGCAGGTTTCCAGAATAGCTTAAGAAACGAATACAGCGTTTCAATTAGCAAGACTTATCAATATGACCAGTAGAAACACCCAAATTTAACAGGAATAGAATCACAAAGTTCAGTGTTACCTGCAGACAAATGAATAGTAGTTTTTACAAACCGAATGCATTTGTCCTATATTATCACACTTAAAGTGTTTGACACGATGAAAGTCATACGAATTGTGTAAGTGAAACTAATCACAGAATAAGCATTTACTAAACGTGTGCTCACCTGTGTGATCTGCTTTGAAATCCTTTGTTAAATCATCCTTCATATTTCCGCGAAAATTGAAATAATTATTAAACAAACGCGAGCTTGAGCGACGAATAAGCTAAGAATTATTTGGGTTTTTGATTGAGATCATGAACCAATTGATGTGAGGCCACCATTGACAACATGGAAGCACTGGACGACTGTTTCGTCTTATTGTGAGTATCCTCAACAGTGCTCGTCCACGATCCCACTCGCGGGATTCGAACACTTCGGACTGATGATGTCACAGGTATTCAGTGTTTGACAACGCTTCTACCAGTAACACCTTCTAATATATTTCGTTCCCACCAAGAGAAATCAAAAGACAGAGTCGAGGAGATCGGAAGAGTATATTTGGCGATGACCAATATACCGGGATTCTCTGATCTAATCTGGCTAGCGATTGTGGTTGATGTTGAGCACGGCGTTACTACACGTGATCTGGTGCGGATGCCTGACCGAGCGCCTTCAGCTAGATGAGTCCACTAAAACATATGGTCAGCATCCAATGTCGAAAACTTAGAGCTATTTATTTTGGGGATTTATTTACCGCTACAGATCACTCCCCCCCTAGTGGGGCAGTGACGACCCTAAGACGTGGCCAGCCAGAAGTTTAAACCCAACGAGTTTGTCGTTGGTAAACACTCTTCTGATAGCTTACTAAATTTAGCAGCGTCTGGTCGTCTTTCCTTACTATATGGGACGGAGGTACAACATAGTAAAAAAAGAAAATGTACAATGAAAATTTCGGATCCTCATAAACGTCATCGTTCTTTTCCAGCCGTCCTGGAAAAGAAAAAAGAAAATGTAAGTGCATGTCGAAAATACACTCGTATATGCGTAAAAACACAAGTCGGCGGAAAAAAAAGGAAAAAAACTCATGAGCACGTAATAGCGTTAAAAAATTGTTTTTTTTGTTTTTTTTTAATAGAAATAAAAATATATAAGCATATTAAAATTGTTTTTTTTAAAAAAAAATAATATAAAATGTCGAGAAGTGCCTTACGTGCAATAGTCGTTTAAATGTTCTGGAAATCTCACCCTTCTTCCAGAACGCGTCGTTTTAAGTTTATTTTCGGATACTGTCGAAGTATCTTCGTGTGTGTTGGTTGTCGGATGAGGTATTATTAGTGTCTGAGTCGTGTCGTTCGATTGTACCGAAGGAAAATCGACGTGGATAGGATTTCCTTCTAAATACGCTGCTTTTAAGCGATCGATGCTGATGCTATCGTTGGTTCCGTTCTTATCGACTATATAGTACTTAGATTCACGTTGAAGAACTTTGAAGGGTCCTTCGTATGCTGATTCGAATGGTCGTCGATGCGAGTCTCGACGAATGAAAACGTGTGTACTATATCGTAAGTCAGGTTGAACGAAAACATCAGTTGATTGAGGTCGAGTGGAAGCAGGTTTAACTGAACGCATTGCGTTTGTAAGCCTGTTCGTGTAGGAGGTTAGATCCATGTTCATCGAAGAGCACGAAGGATCCACGAATTCTCCTGGAAGTCGAAGTGTCGTTCCATAAACGAGTTGAGCCGCAGTGTATCCAATGTCAGCTTTCACTGCATTGCGGATACCTAGTAAGACGAGTGGAAGAGCGTCGGTCCATTGTGAAACGTTTGCAGCTGATAGCGAAGCTTTCAGTTGTCGGTGAAAACGTTCTACCAACCCGTTTGCTTGTGGATGGTAGGCGGTCGTTCGGAAGCGAGTGATTCCTAAAAGTGTGGTCAGACGACGGAAAAGATCAGATTCAAACTGACGTCCGCGGTCTGTAGTGATGGTTGAAGGGCAACCGAAGTTTGCTACCCATCGTTCGACGAATGTGCGGGCCACTGTTTCAGCAGTGCTGTCCTTGATAGGTACTGCTTCTGGCCATCGAGTGAAACGGTCTACGCAGGTTAAGAGATAAGAGTATCCATTTGAATCTGGTAAAGGTCCTACCAAATCCAGATGAACATGGTCGAAACGAGCATCGGGAGTTTTAAACGAGCCTAAGGGACATTTATTGTGTCTGATAACCTTAGATTTTTGGCAGCTTACACAGGAGCGTGCCCACTCCCTCACGTCTTTATTCATGCCAGGCCAGCAAAATCGTTCTGCTATAAGCTTGATGGTTGCACGAACACCTGGATGAGAAAGTTTGTGCAATGTGTTGAAGACATTGCGTCGATAATGTTTCGGCACGATTGGGCGATCCCTACCTGTAGATGTGTCACAAAGTAAGGTTTCCTTACCTGTTCCCATCTGTTTGATGCGTAGTTTAAGTGTTGTGGACGATAACTCGTGCTGAAGATCACTGTCTTCTTTTTGAAGCTCGGCGAGTTTAAGAAGGTCGATTCCTTGGAAACTGTTCAAGGAAGTTATGCGAGATAAAGCGTCTGCAACTACATTGTTTGCTCCAGAGATGTGTTGAATATCTGAAGTAAACTGCGAAATGTAGTCCAGTTGTCGAGACTCACGGGGAGAGTACTTGTCAGAAGGAGAGCTTAACGAGAAAGTGAGCGGTTTATGGTCCGTGAAAAGAGTGAATTCACGGCCTTCGATATAGTGTTGGAAATGCCGTACAGCACAATACATAGCTAGGAGTTCCCTACCGAATGTGCTGTACCTCGATTCGGTGTCTAGCAACCTTCTAGAGAAAAATGCCAAGGGTTGCCAGGAGTTGTTAACCCATTGTTGTAAGACTCCTCCGATTGCTGAGTCGGATGCGTCTACTGCGATGCTAATGGGTGCTCGGGTGTCCTGATGTGCGAGCATTGTTGCTTTAGCAATCAGTTCCTTAACTGTGGAGAATGCTTTTCGTGCGGTGTCGTCCAAATTAATGGATTTCGCATTTCCACGAAGTTGGTCGGTCAGAGGTTTCATAAGTGATGCGCATTTGGGTATGAAACGTCTATAGAAACTTACCAGGCCGTTGAACGTGCGTAATTGCTTGACGGTGGTCGGTTCTGGGTAATCCAGAATGGCCGCCACTTTGGTTCTAAGGGGTCGGATACCTTGAGCATCGATAGTGTGTCCCAGAAAGTCTAACGAGTCGGTTCCAAATTGGCATTTCTGAACGTTTACAGTTATGCCATGTTTTTGTAATCGTTCGAAAACAAGGTCCAGATGCTTGAGATGTGTTTCTCTGTCCGGACTTGCGATTAGACAGTCGTCAACATACGCGTGTACGAAGTTGAGACCTCGAAAAACGTCGTCTATGAATCTTTGGAATGTTTGAGCAGCATTCCTTAGACCGAAAGGCATTCGCAAAAATTCATAGAGTCCGAAGGGAGTTATGATAGCTGTTTTCGGTATGTCGTCAGTAGCCATAGGGATTTGGTTATACGCTTTAACCAAGTCGATTTTCGAAAAGACAGTTGTACCTTTCAAGGTAGCTGTCAAATCGTGAATGTGAGGCAACGGGTAACGATCGGGAATGGTTTTCGCGTTCAATCGCCGATAGTCACCAGTTGGACGCCAATCGTTGCTGTCCTTTTTAGGGACCATGTGCAACGGAGATGCATATGGGCTACTTGACGGTCGTATGATTCCTAAGTCCATCATGTGATCGAATTCGTTTTTCGCTAACCTTAGCTTTTCAGGAGCTAGTCGTCGTGCTTTAGAGAATACAGGTGGTCCTGTAGTCGTGATGTGATGTGTAACATTGCTGGTTACACACGGTAGTTTCGGTTGAGTTTGTTGTATCCCAGGGTACTTATCGAGTAGTGGTTGATAGAGTGGGTCTATCATATGTTTAACTGTGACTGGGGATACTCTACAACCAGTAAAAGAAGTTACGCAAACGGACAAATTAGTGTTTCCGTCTACTAGCCTCCGTTTGCGAGTGTCGATGATCAGATTGTGGTGTTGTAGAAGGTCCATACCAATGATTGGCATAGAAACATCTGCAACGACGAAAATCCAGTGGATGGGTTTGCGTAAACCCACGTTAAGGTAAACGTACCTTTTGCCATACGTAGCGATCGGTTTTCCGTTTGCCGCCTGTAAGTTTAGGGTCGATTCGTGAAGTCGGTCGTTAGGATTTGCTGGGAGAACGCTAACTTCTGCGCCAGTGTCGACGAGGTAGCGAACTCTCGTTGTCACATCTGTGACGAATAACAGACGGCTTTGTTCGCCGGCTACGGTTGCCGTTAACGCGTGCCGGCTTGGAAGTTTCCCGAATTGTTTTTCGAATCAGTCGGTTTCGTGTTGGGAAAATTGCAGGGTTTTCTGCAATTTCTGGAAAACTTTCCATACTGGTTATGATACCAGCACCAGTCGGGGTTATCTGTCTCTCGTGGTCTAGAGACAGATCGCTTACGAGAAATGCTTCTACGTGGTGTGCGCGATCTCTTACGGTCGGTACGAAGACTAAGATAACGCGTGAGTGTGTGACATAAGTCGGTTATGTCATTCTGAGTCGTGTGAGGCTTTTCTTTGACTGAAAATACCTCGGTAGTAGGTTTCGTAATTTCTAGAATGCGGTCGGCAGATACAGCTAGTTCGTCTAAGGCGTTGTTCTGGAACGAGACCAGAACTGCTTGCACCTGTTGGGGAAGTTTTGACAAGAAGAGTTGTTTGAATAGACCTTCGTCGAAAGTTCTTGGGCCTATAACCTCTCTCATCCGTTGCAACATGTCCGTCGCAGAACCGTGTTGCAGGTCGATATTGTTGAAGAGTTGATCTAACCTTTGTCGATCGGTTAGGTCTCCTCGTTTAAGAATCGAGCGTTTTAAGATTTCGTAAGGATCGGAAACATCACTAGTAAACATACTAGGTGTTACGTACCTGTTGAATTCCCGCGGCAGTGCCTTGACTACTGCGAGGAATTGTGCACGTGTGTCGATCACGCCGTGCTCGGAAAAGTCGGCTTCTGCGTAGCAAAACCAGGCTTCGATGTTGTCGGGCCAGAAAGGCATCAGTTGAAACGAAGGTGGGGACAAGGTCTTAAGCTTGAGTACTTTAGGTGTCTGTTCAGTCATGATGAAATATGAAGTACGATAATGAACGAGGGGAAATATATATATATATATCCAAGAAAAAACACGAAAAAAAATTTTTAAAAATAAGGCAATGATATATAAAAATCCCAAAAAGGAACAGACTCACAGTTGCAATAAGGTGTACCAGATCACGACGGTCTCACCAATGATGATGTCACAGGTATTCAGTGTTTGACAACGCTTCTACCAGTAACACCTTCTAATATATTTCGTTCCCACCAAGAGAAATCAAAAGACAGAGTCGAGGAGATCGGAAGAGTATATTTGGCGATGACCAATATATCGGAATTCTCTGATCTAATCTGGCTAGCGATTGTGGTTGATGTTGAGCACGGCGTTACTACACGTGATCTGGTGCGGATGCCTGACCGAGCGCCTTCAGCTAGATGAGTCCACTAAAACATATGGTCAGCATCCAATGTCGAAAACTTAGTGCTATTTATTTTGGGGATTTATTTACCGCTACAGGACTACAACTAGTCGCCGAAATTGCACTTCATGGCCTGTTTTCGTAGTTCAAGTATAAAAGGCCTAACTTTCTGGTCATTTGTTGCACCATTTTATGAAATTTTGATCTCTATTTAAAGTCAGTACACTGTACATCACTAAGTAGTAATGGGAATGAAATTGGTTTCTCAAGAAAAGTGTGATATTTAAAAATATTAGAACTATTGTACGTACTAGGAATCCTTAAACTAACGCAATGAAGGCCAAGTAGAACTAAGTGAGCGCAAACAAACTTATTGTGTTTAGAATTCGAAATCCGGCAGTCATCAGGTTCAAAGAAGTCATCAGTTTATACAAACAGCATAACCAACACAGCTTAAATTGTAATCTAAGTTTCTTTGATCGGTTGTGCGTCTTCTTTTCAAGTTCATTGAATATCTGTCAGACTGTGCATTGTATACAGACTTTGTGTGATCTAGAATATGCTCATTAGTATTGGAACTAACAACTGAAACTGGCACGAACTCATCTGATTTTTGGAATTGTATCTGATCGACATGTCGGTTGTGTGTGCTGAAATGATTGATATCTAGAATTCTCATCACAGATTTTCAGACACTCTTCACCACAATCCCCGTGGTTAGTCAAAGACCATTTCCACGATAATATGTATTTTCTGCAAACTCTAAATACCTCATATTCGAACGAAGAATTCTTCCTTTTATTAACTTTGATAGAGTTTCTTTCGCTACAGAATGTCAAGCATTTCTAGATTGCAGTAGAAATGCATCTACTCTCCTCTCCGGTTTATTAAATGTTGAAGCAGCAATAGAATTAATATCAGTTTTTAATGTTCTGACAGAGGCTCCTGCCTGATAATTAGAACAAGGGTGCTAAGCAGCAGTCAACAAATGTCTGCACTCTATACCATTCAATCAGATGATGAATGTACGCAGAAAAATGAAAGCGATTATCAATCACTAACACCATAGGAACCTCTTCTCGACTAAACACATTCATTGGTGCATAGATTGTGAAGTCAGAATTTGGTGAAGTTTTGAAAAAGCTTCAGGCCTTTTAGAAAAGAAACAATGACAACAAGAACATAGCGTTTGCCAAGAAACGGACCACAATAGTCTCTATGAATTATCTCCTAAGCCTCAGACGATACTGACTGACTTTTCAACTTGTGACATCTTCTATAGTTGTTTGCTATACGACATATATCGGCTTTGATCTCTGACCACCAACATGTGAGCCTTGCCAAAAACATCATTTTCTCGACACCTAAATGTCCACTTTAGAGATCTTCAAGAACAGATTTACGCAATGAAGTAGGAATAACAATACGACTATTTAAACACAAAATACCATCAAAATTAGTGGATAATAGACAGAAAATCTACGTTTCAGATTAGTATTTCAACGTTTTCGTATAGTACTGGGTATACATTCAAAGTATCTGCGAGTTTCTCTGATGAGATCTGGACATCTCATTGGTTAAGGTTGCACTAATAAACAGTCTGAAGTATTAAAATGTTTATCTTTCTGCTCCAAAACTACACCAAAAAGTGAACAGCTTGATATAAGACCATTTAGTGCAAACTGTCATAGTGCCATATGACAATTAGGAGTATTTGAATTATAGTATGAACTAAGAATCCAAGAAATAACGCGATTGGATCAAGGAGTACTAGATAAACCTGAACGAATGTACTGTATTTGGAATTCGAAATCAAGCATTCAACAAGTACATAAGAATCATTAGTTCAATCAAACACATCCGCTACAGCTTAAATTGGAGTCTAAGCGTCTATAATCGGTTGTACGTTTTTTGCTTAAGTTCATCCTGTGTCTTTCCGACAGTGTATTTGACAAAGACTCTGTATTATCTAGAATGTACTCATTAGTATTAGAATTAACAACCGAAATTGGAACACACTCACCTGGTTCCTGGAATTGTATTTGGTCAGCGTGTATACTTAAGTCATTGATATCTAGAATTTGAATCATAGACTCTCCAACACTATCCTTCCCCACAAAATAATGTTGGACCTTCATATCCCCAAGTTATGAATGATATGGCTTCATCTAAAACATATTTCTCACATTGACTAGAGTAAACATTAGAAGTGACTTCGTGATAAGGAAAAACAGCAGTTGATATGAAACCATCCGAATTGTAATCAAACTCCAGTTCATTTAGTACTTGTGCTTCGCACTGAACAAGTTTCCCGCAAGAATCAAATGCACTATGAGAACAAATAATATTTAATAGAACATCAAGATTTGATTCTTTTGAAATAGTTTCCTCGAATTTATTAAGAATGTCATTGCACAGCAAAGAATCATTAGAAAAATCAGCATCTATCAAAACTACGTAAGGTTCTTGATCATGATTAGGTTCACTCAACATATTAGGATAACGCAGTAATGTAGCGGAATTTTTATGTCCTTATGAATGATTTTATGAAGTTTCCCTCGTTTACCGCATTTGAAATTTGTACACTAAACATAGTCCAATGGTAGTTCCTTGAGAGTTGTATAAGGAAGCGAAATGGGCTTTTCTGGTAAAGCCAGAGTTTTTAATAAGCTGTATGCTTCTTTTCCGATGAATGTAAGAAGCGTGCCACAATATTAACACCCTCATCATCTTCCTTGGTCATAGCCCAGATTTCAAACCTTTCAAAGTAATCCTCAAAAGCATCAAAATTTGAATGTATATCCAACAATTCTATCACAGACTTCATCGCGACGCCAGTGTGATAATTAGGAGTATTTAAATTATAGTATAAAGTAAGAATCGCAGAAACAACGCAATATGATAAAGAAGTACCAGATAAACCTGAATGAATGTACTGTATTTGGAATTCGAAGTCAAGCATTCAACAAGTACAGAGGAATCACTAGTCATTAAAACACCATATGCTAGTATAAACCAATCCTTTTCAATTATTTATCGGGTCAGTAACTTTCTGCCAAAGCTTGTCAGACTTGAAGTCCTGAGAACGGCTGAGGCTATAGTCATCCGGATGAAGATACCTGACATATGGGTACAAAAGAAATATCTTCAACTGTTTTTCCTACCCTGGCCAACCTCAAGGCCAAT